TAATATTGCACGCCCCACTTTTCAGTTTTTTATTTGTTAAAAAAGTTTAAATTATCCAATAAATTTCGTTCCACTTCACGATTGTGTCCCACTTGTTGTTGATTCATGACAAAAAATTAAATTTTAATATCTTTATGTTTGAAGCCTGAAATGTTGAAAGGTTCAAGGGGGCCGAATACTTTCGCATGATACTGTAAATAAATGCATTTGAATGTCATTAACGTTGTGCTTATTTTTTGTTATTTTTCTCTTACGTTTTAATGCAGATTGCAATTTCAGGTGAAAGACAAAAATATTGCAATAATATTGTTATTGCAATACTAAACACTCATATCGACTATTGCACTAATTTCCAATATCGTGCAGACCTGGGTGGGTTATGTTAGAGAATTATAGTCCATCCATCCATTTTCTTCCCCTTAACCCATTTCTGGGCCCGGGGGGTGGCAGTCAGAGCTGCAACCAGTACACAGAGCACCAGCCCCTCCCTGATCCTCCTGCAGGTGGTGAGTCCACAAGAGCCCTGATCTTTCAACGAGGGGCTTCGGGCAAAGTGGACACAACAACAGCAGTCATCAATGGGAGTTGTGAAGTAGGTCTCATGGTGGGCTCGAACCCACAACTTTCAGGCTCAAAGGCCAACGCTCTACCAACTGAGCCACTGTCGCCCCCAGAATTATAGTTATGTAAAAACGTATAATGAATGTTTAACAAAGTCAATGTGAGCTGTATCTGCCATGATTTGTGATTGGCCAATCCAAAACCAAGATGATTGATATCGGATCAGAGCACGGTTTGATGTTCTCAATCAGGCACCACAAAGGGAATATTAATGTGTGCGATATTGAAATACATAGTACATATTTTTTACTGTGACAAAATCTCAATTCTTAAAATGGGTCGCATCTTCTCTCTGCAAATACTCAGTTGTAACTTAAGCCTGAAATGAAACGCTCGACTCCAATGCAGTTATTTTTCTAATGATGGGGAACATTCAGGGAAACACAATAACATTTAGACGTGAGCAAAATTGGATACTACACCAGGGAAGTTGCGTAGTACAGGTTATGTTAGAGCAGTGTTTTTCAACCACTGTGCCGCGGCACACTAGTGTGCCGTATGATATTGTCTGGTGTGCCGTGAGAAATTCGTCTACTTTGTCTAAAAATAACTGCATTCGCTGTTGACGAGCGGTGACTTGTTTTGAACTGTGAGTAACCATGTAATACTTTTTCAAATCAGTAGATGGCAGCAGATAGCTAAGTACTTTGAAACTGAAAAATTGGATGCGACCACTGGCTACAGGTCAGCATTGTGGCGAGAAAGGTAAAATTGGATGCGACCAACAAATGTGGGAGGGAGCGAGACAAGAGCTTTGTGGCGAGTGAGAAGTGAAAGTGATAGAGACGTTTTTGAAAATGAATTATGCCGTTTCTGAACAGGATTAACATCCTCCGCTCTGCCCCGGGGCAGCTGTGGCCGCGTTGTAGTGGTTTAACTATGAAATGTACAATTTTTGTACAACAGCTCTTGCGAACGCACTTCTGAACTGGGTACCGAGCGCAGACCGTAGTCGAGTGGACAGAACCACAGACATGCGGACCGGACAGAACCATGGACTCGCGTTCAGGACCTCCCGTGTCCCTCATCCAAAACTCCTGAATTTAAAGCTCGGATACCAAAATGTTTCCCATGCACTAACAATGCATGTTCTTTGTGTGAGTTATTATTTGACTATTTGGGCAGAGAGTGGATTTTCTTAGTTTTTTTCCACACAGTTAGTGCCACTTTATTCCCAAACTCTTGTTAATTGTATCGAGAAATATTAAATAAAGCTTAATTTCAAGGCCTGGACTTAAGCATTTTGATGAGAATAACTGTATATTGTGAATATAGGCTACAGAGTATACTGTATACATTATAAGATAAGATAAACTTTATATATCACACAGAGTATGTACAGTATATATTTTACATTAGTACTGTATACATTTTTACATTTTCTCCTGGAGGTGTGCCGCAAGATTTTTTCAGTGAAAAAAGTGTGCCTTGGCTCAAAAAAGGTTGAAAAACACTGTGTTAGAGAATATTAACATAACCTGTATGTTATTTAAAAAAACATACAGGAAAAAAAAAGTTGCAAAAAAAAAATCTATAGTTTTGTGTGTATTTATGCTTATAAATAGTACATCAGGATTCACTGTCAGCTTACTGTAACTCATTTGGAATATGTTAAGTTTTCAAGTGCAGTTTCTACATGGGAACACAACTGATGCTTGGCTCAGAGACCTAATACGTCTCGACACTCCGCATTCCAAGACGACAAACTAATTAGCGAGGTACAAATGTTTCATGTTCAGGTTGATGAGACTAGAGTTATTCCCGTTTCCTTTGTAGCAGCTAATTCATAACCTCTAAGGTCAAGACGTGACTTTCAGTTTTTCTTGCAGCCAGCTTTAAAAATAAAGTGACCTCACCAACTTTGTATTCGAGCCAAGACTCCAAATTAGAAGAAAATACAGTGTCCTTATATGGAAAGAACCTTTTACAAATGGATCCCCCACACTCCTCCGCAGCGTGTCTGTCAGGCTTTGAGCAAGAGTGTTCTCACAAAACAAAACAACGCTGTAGCTATGTTTGCAAACGTGTTTTTCTTATCATAACTTATTACCTGTTATATTTCTGCTCTGCTCTGTTGTTGTATTGTAATCAAGTCAGTAATCAAGTCAGTGACTCAATAAAGTTGGTTTTAAAATTACATGTAAACTATGCAGAGGTGAAATATAAGCACTAGAGTAATAGAAATGAATTGGAAAAGTTATAGAACATTTATTCAAACAGTCTACTACTAGTGCTACTTGTCCAGGATGAGTAAAACGTTATAATTATGCATATTTGCAACTAATACTCAAAAATATCAAGACAGTAAAAGTAACTTATACAATAGATACTCTAGTAAAAAACAGCATTGAAGTAATCCCATTGCTTAAGAATAAGTAAAGGAGAAAAGAGCATGCTTTTATATGTATTTCAGTTAGAACTCTCAATACTCTCAAAAATGCAGCTGTATGGTACTGAGCTTAGAAGCATAGCTAATCACTTCAAACCTGTATTAATGAACATGGCTTACCACAAACATGTAGTAACAAACTTAAAAGCAAAGCAACCCCCACAACCCTGTAAGAACCAACTTACTAGCATGGCTAACCACATCAAATATGCATAAATGAAAGCCTGGCTAACCACAACAACCCTGTATTGATAAACTTAGAAACATACCTAAACACTCCAAACCTGAATCCATGACCTTAGAAGCATGGCTAATCGTCAAACATGTATTAATGAACTTAGAAGCATGGCTGATCACTTCATACATGTATTAACAGACTTACAACCCTACCTAACAACTTTAACCTTGTCCATCCATCCATCTTCTTCCCCTTAATCTATTTCTGGGTCGGGGGGGGTGGCAGTCAGAGCTGCACCCAGTCACAGAGCACCAGCCCCTCACTGATCCTCCTGCAGGTGGTGAGTCCACAGGAGCTGAGATCTTTCAGCGGGGGCTTCAGGCAAAGTGGGGTTAAGTGTCTCTCCCAAGGACACAACGACAGCAGTCATTAGTGGGAGTCGTGAAGTAGGTCTTACGGTAGGCCCGAACCCATGACCTTCGGGCTAAAAGGCCAATGCTCTACCAACTGAGCCACTGTCGCCCACTTTAACCTTGTATTATTGAAATTATAAGCGTAGCTAACCACTTAAACCCTGTATTCATCCAGATTCAGATCCATTTATTTGCCATTTGCAGTAAAACCACATAGGAAAAACTGTGCAAGACTACCCCAGTGTGCACCAGACGACACACACCAGAGCTCTTGCCACGATTATTATCATGACATTAGAAGCAAGGCTAATCACTTCAAATATGTATAAATGATATTAGAAGCATGATTAATCACTTCTAACATGTATTAATGAACTGAGAAGCATGGCTAACCATTCAAAAGCTGCATTCAAGAACCACTTCAAGCATCTATTAAGGTCGGAAAAAACGTTGTGTCTGTTTGGTGTCTTTTTACGATGTCATCTGCAAAGGTTTTTAAAGTAACTAACCCCACTTAAACTCTTCACAATTTGACTGTTTTGTCTCAACTAAAAATAGCTTTTCTTCCCCAATTGTCATTAAAGTGATCTATTGGAGCTATTAGACAGACACAAGACCTCCAAGAACAGCTTTGATGTGGGAGGAATGCAGGTTAAGAAAAATATTTACATGTTCTTTTCGTAGACGTCGAGATCTCAGGATACCTTCAGTATTAGTGGAAACACACAAAGATAAACTGAACTTTTAGAGTTCCACCTGGCTTCAATTATTACCAAAATAGGTCCTTTACACACTGCAGGGCATGTACGGCTTAAAAATTATAATAAAGAAACTTGAAATGTTTGCGACGAATTCAAGTCAACAAGTTAATGTGTGCATGTTCTATTCAAATCGGTAATTTTCAAAGCAAACTATTTTAAAATAGCATATAACAGAAATGTGGTGTAGAGTCAATATTTGAATCCACATTTTCTATTCCACCTCCATCCATAAAATGATGCAATGCAATGGGAAAAATCATTTGCATCATAAATGGTGATAAGGTGAATACCCATCACTCTTCCAGTCAGTGAGCTGTCTGCACAAAGTATTGCTTCATTTACTAAAGTCTTTCTGAGTGATAACAGATCACAGCCGCAGCTTCACGCTCGGTCTTGGCCTTGACCATATAAGGATCCTGAGGAATCTAGCACCAATAACACAGCCAGAGCAAATATGCATGAACAAGAAAAGATCATTATCTGCCAGTTTGTATTATTGCTTTGGTGAAAGTGCGTGAGAACGACAAACTATTGGAAACTTTTGAGACTTTTAAAGAGTCTTGCAAGCATGATAAACATAGTTGAAGTTGTATCAACACTAAAACATAATGCATTTACTCTGTACTTGTTGATCTTACCTGAGAAACCACCAGCGGTCTGTAGGTGTCCCCCTCTCCATGTGCCACAGAGAAGCCCCAGGGTGCACCATCGCTCCGCAGAGTGACGCAGATGTAATCCCCGAAGCCCATGCCTGCTCCTCAGCCTGTCCTCCGTGGGGCCACCATGAACCTGCGAGTCAGAGCAGCAGCAGCCCTCTGTAAAAACCACCAGCAGCTCCGCACATGAACCAATATATATAATGCCCCCATCATCTGAGCGCTCCACAGGCCGGCCCGCCCGCGTCACAGCTGCAGAGAGACACTCCCCCAAACCTGGTAGAGGGTCCCAAAAGTGCTGCGCAGATGTAAACACAAGAAACAGGGATAAACAAATGGTTTGTAAAAGGATTAGAACTAGTACATTTCAAATAAGTGCAGATCAGCACGCACATAGTGGTCTACCCCAGACAACTGTATTATTCCCAGTATTTGAAGCAGTATCTTTTGGGGAAAACATAAATACATGACTAAAATAAGAGCAGTGTGTGGGCAGAACTCCTGGTTCAGGAAGTACAATTCCCCACACAAAATCCCCATAGGTAAAAAAAAAGAAAAGAAAAAGACAAAAATATTATAAAATATTAAAAACATGCTGGGTTGAGGATCTATCAACATTCTTACATTAACATAAGTAAGTTAAAGTATGTTTATCAAACGTTACGCATTTTACGTTTACATTGTTTTTTTTCGGTGAAACCACGTGTGGACCAAAATGCTGGTTAGTTAGTTGTTTAGCCTCTGCCATTTTTCTTCATCAGGACATCAAGTCTTACTTTCACGTTTAAACCTGTGCTAAACAGTTCAAGTATTGTGTTGTTCCGCTTTTTATTTTACCAACTGTCCAGTGTTGAAGTGGAAGTGACCTTATAAACAACAGAATTAAGCTGACAAAGTGGTGATAGGCAGCAGAAAGTTGGCTGCTGCATCTTCCCTTCACAAAGGTCGCTATAAAATCACAACACATCATGATATATTATTTGCTCTACCCCTTGAATCTGGTTGCATTTGCACTTGTTAAATGGAATATTCATGGGGTTAAAAATAATGACTATAAAAAGACCGTTGCGAATGAGAAAACGGTGCTCAAAATATTGTATGCATGTCTTATACCCATGGAAGGAATTAATAAACACGTGTTAAACTTGAACATCAATAGTAATTTTTTTTTTTTGGGGGGGGGGGGGGGTGCATGTATCCATCCAAACATTTTCAACTAGGCTTCAATGCCACTGTTAATATTGTTCAAAGATAAATTCAAAACGAAAGTTAATTGAGGAGACAACACACATCCTCCAGCTCCCTCCTCCTGTGAACTGTGCTGACGTGTAGAGCTCGTAGCCTGTATTCCACGCGTGCGCATTAGCCACCCATGAATGGCCATCAAACGCAGATGTTGCCTAGGAAACAGTTCAAAATAAAAGTAGTAACGTGATTAAAAGCGGGTTAATTCTCTTTAATTGAGGTACATATTTTCAGACATATTATTTGTATTTATTGTACATATTTATATTTATTGTACATATTATTTATTGCGTTTCCAGATGGTAAATGATGTATTATCTCGTTGTTATGTTTTAATTTGAAAGTGCGTGACCGGATTTGCTGCCTGTGTTTATGTGTTGACATAGTAGGATGTAGTGGCGCACAGACACCGGCGCTTTGGAGGAGTTTGACGTGGCACTCTGCTTTCTCTGCGGGCGATAGACACAAGAGGACTCTGCCCAGATATTACAGGTAAATAACACATTCCCACTTCTACGTGCGCACAATTTATACACTGTTGGTGCAGCATTTCACCCAGCATCTCCCCGTGTGTCTAACTACGAGATTAAGACAGGCAGCGATGTTGAAAAGTTTGATTTCTGTGGAAGATTTAGCTAAATCCATCACGTAATAACAAAACATGGATTCTGGACTCTTTAATCCAGAACACCTGTATACTGAGCACTTGTATAAACGGGTTGTCTATTCTGTGAGTGATGCTATCAGAAAAGGTCACAAGATGCTTTGATTTGCTCATATACCGTATTTTGACGTGGCATTTCCAATCTAGTAATTTGCACCGCTATTACGCCGTTATGTTATTATTCGGCATTAGCTAATTGATATAGTATTATAACTACTGACGCATCGATGTCATCCTACTGTAAATGCTATGTATAACAGACACGTTATTTGACATGTGTGTAAAGTGGATTATTAAGTTTAGACACGTGTCAGAATTTATAATGATTTATTTCAATTTATGGATTCAATAAATCTTTTCTCCTTATACATGTGTGTGTGTGGGTAACTATTATTAATGTCTATAGTTGGCAGGTAGTCACCCACAATATTCTGTTATGAACTTTGTTGTAGGAATGTAGACAGAGCAGTGGGAAGTCAAATGGCTTATGCTGCCTTTTTAAGATAGTGATAATTGTTGCTTTATCTCTCAATACGAAGTCAAAGGTCCTTGTTGCTGGAGAGTTAATGATCGGATAGGGTCAAATACCACGTGCTGCTGTGTTCAACCAGTGAATACAGTTGAATATAATGTTCTGCTGCTTTGTGTTTGCAACTTATTAAATGGGATGTATCTTCTTGCAGTGTCTCTTTTTGGCATGAGGAAAGAGTAAACCCAATCTTCAAAACAAGATGAGTCAACAGGGCTTTGTGGCTGCGCCCCCCTACTCTCAGGCCCAGGCCGGGATGGGGGGATACCAAGGAGGGTTCGGACCTCCAGGAGCAACGCAGCCTCTCTATGGGCATTATGGGGGGCAAGCACAGCCATTTAATGCCCCACCAACGGGTAATCCACTCTCCTTGAAATGCAAATGCAGTTGTATGTGCTTATTACATGTTATTATATCTGATTGACTTACAGCGGGTATGATGAATGGGATGCATCCAGCTCCAGCCTCTGCTCAGTATGGCCAAATTGCACAGCAGAATGGGGCTCATCCTCACAGGTAAAATTATAATTATGTTTGAGAAGTCTGGCAGGTGTCTCATATTGCTACTATTGCACAAATGAGACCAGCCCTAGACCTTATTTAGTGTGGTTGCTATGGTAATCATATCTAATGTCCAACTCCATTTTTATTTTACCAACAAATTTACACTAGCCAAGATTTTCAACTTAATAAACCATCTCAAACATGTTTCAGTGACTTCAGTACTTTCAACCCATCTCCTGTTTTAACCCTTTAGGCACCAGGTTTCTTCCTAAATTCCATGTGAAGTAGACAAAAGCAGAAATAAATAAAAGAAAAGTTATAAAATGTCAGGGAACCTTTGTGAGAAGCCAGGTTGCTGTATAGACAGGGTCAAATGGATGCAGTGAAAGACAGTGGTAAAAAAATAAAAAGTTTCTCATTTTGCTTTTCTTGTCTTGAAGGTTTGCAGCTCCCCCAGCCTCCGCCGCTGGTTATGGACAGCCTCCACAGTCATCATACAACAACATGGCGCCTCAGCCCCCACCTGCAACACAACAGATTACCAACCAGATGAACGCTCTGAGCATGGGAAACTATGGTAATCATTCAGTCAACTACAATACACATTTCAGATTGTTCACTCTTCTTCGTCAATTGTTAATAGAGCAGATTTGTGTTTTGTTCAGCACCAGGTCCTCAGAGTCCGGTCAACACAGGTGGCCAGCAGCACCTTCAGAGGCCTGCTCCAGTGATGGGACAGCCTCAGATGCACCCACAGTCCCCTCCCATGTCTCCACAGATGACCGCTCCTCCAATGGCTAGCACCCCTATGTCACCACCTCCTATGGCAGGTGCTCCCCCTATGGGTGGCCCTTCTATGGATGCTCCTCATATGGCTGGGCCTCCTATGGGTGCTCCCTCTATGGCTGGGCCTCCTATGGGTGGTCCTCCTATGGCTGGACCTCCGATGGGTGCTCCCTCTATGGGTGCTCCCTCTATGGGTGCTCCTCCTATGGGTGCTTCAACCATGGGAGGCATGGCTGGACCTTTTCCTGGATCAGCTCCTGGAGTTGGAGGCTTCCAGCAGGCAGGTCTTGGCCCACAGGGATATCCTCAGCAACCAGGTAATAAAAGTTTGCTGAATGCATTTCTATAGGAAAAGCATTCACAGTTCGTGCTCATATATTGCATTCATTTATTCACCAAATGTTTCTTCGATAGGTCAGTTTGGTGGTCACATGGCAGGACCTCAGCCCGGTATGCCCGGTATGCCTGGTGGTTTCCCATCAGGACCATCTCAACTTGCTGGACCACCACAAAAGAAACTGGATCCAGACTCTATCCCCAGCCCAGTGAGCATAATTCTTTTTGAATCATTTAAACTAGTTATGCTTATAATACGTCTTTACAATGCTAGTCAAGCTACATACAGAACAAAGTAGATGCAGTTAAACTGAACAACCATATAAGCCTGAGGGCGTCTTATTATTATCTTTAACACATTTATGAATATTCAATACAATTTATTAAGCAGATTGCTAAAAAATACATCCAATTCTTGATGTCTGAAAGGTTACAGACCAAATTGTTCGAATCCGTGGCACAAAAGGCTCATGGGAAATGTGCAATACATTTACAAGTTAAATAAGATGATAGCTATTCTAAACTGAAAATGTGTTGAATAAAAAGTGTTTGTTGCTTTAGACACAAGTGATCGAGGAGGACCAGCAGAGACAAGTAGGAAAGCTCTACGTCACAGACGTCCGTGGACAAGTGCCACCTCTGGTCACAACACAGTTCACCGTACAGGACCAAGGTAATTCACACAACATGTTTTATCAATATTCATGTTCGCAACACATTTGTCTGTGTAACCGCAGGCAACGCGAGCCCCAGATTCATGAGATGCACCACTTACTGCCTGCCCACCACCGCTGACCTGGCCAAACAGAGCCAAGTCCCCCTGGCCACCATCATCAAACCATTGGCTCGATTACCAGCGAATGAGGTAAGTCTTTATCACCAGAAGAAAACAAATAAGCGACTGATTAAACAAAGAAAACGATTCAACGCTTTGTATCAGGACATGTTTGGAGGAATAAAAATGGCTGACCTGCACCTGGAAATGATTGGATTTTCTGTTTTGTTTTGTGGAATGAGTTTGGTTGTTACTGGGGCTTTTGTGCCAATCCTGCTGTGAAAAATTAGGTTGGAGAATTGAATTGAACTGTTAGTAACATTGTCAAGCACTTTTCTCTAAGTTATGGTTGTGCTTTTGTGTCAGCGTGCCTTGAGATATGGTTTAGTTTGCCCTTTAAAATCTTTAAAATGATCCAGTATCACTTCATTGCAAGATTACACATCCTTTTTCTATTGCGCTCGTTTGATTTTCTATTCCATACACTTTGATGAAAATGACTTTGCAATGTCAATACCATTGTGCAGTGTCGGACTGCTAAGATTTACATGTTTTGTTTCAAATTTGTTTTTTGTTTGCCCTTGTAAGTATCTGGAAGTCTGCTTTGGCTCATGGCACAAACAAGTTATAAAAGTAACAGATGCAAAAAATCTCATCCTCATTTCAAATCTGTTTAATCAGCAACTCGCATTAACGCTAAATTGTACATTGTTGTGTTTGCCAGCGCTGGCCCACTTCCACATACATTCAATTATTCTGTCTTTATTTTTAGCTTTTTTTTTACTGCATTTTAAGCCAAAATACCTCTCAAGTTCCCATATTGTTGTTTTTCTAAGTAGCCTCTTGTTTGTCTGTGTGCACGTTCAGGCTCCTCTCCACGTTGTGAACCACGGTGAGACTGGACCCGTTCGCTGTAACAGATGCAAGGCTTACATTTGTCCGTACATGCAGTTCACGGAAGGAGGACGCCGCTTCCAGTGCGGCTTCTGCAACTGCATCAACGAAGGTACGGCGTTTATATTGGACGCCAGTTTGAACGTGCAGATGGCAATCATTAATTTCTCGTCACTACGCAGTGCCAATGTTTTATTTCCAACATCTTGACCACATGGGGCGAAGGGTGGACTTCAACCAGAGGCCTGAGCTGTGTCTAGGATCTTATGAGTTTGAAGTTACCCTCGACTATTGCAAGGTAACTTTAGTGTTTTAGTTGTTTTGTTTTCCAGTACTTCTTCGCTACTGTTGCATCTCGTTGTCCCCAGTGGTGACTTTAGGGTTGACAGAAATCTTATGAACTAATTCTATTCAATGATTAGTCAAAAATATGATCTATATCCAATCCTACTCTATACTAAAACCTCTATCTGACCTCTGTAGACCAGAGTAGCCCCAGGGTCTGAGGCCAAATTGAAGGCCTTAAAATCTTTAAACTTGATTAAAAGGATGTAACGTGTTCAATTTACCACTTCATATTCAGGTATTTGTTATATTTGAGAACGATCCAATTGGGTTCTTTTTTCTCTATAAATTCCTGGTGACAATTTGCAACAGTCACATTTTATATTATGTATTTTTGCCCACGTCAGCGCCTGAATGGGAATGGAGGAAGTGTACAATTCATTTTTGTAAAGCCCTGAATCACAGCGGTTGTCTCTGAGGACTTTAGATTCAGATTCAGACAAAGTTGTCAATTCACCAACAACAGCTCAGAGAATCAAACAGTTCGAACACATAAAAACAAACACATAGGAGGAGCCTTGGGTCCATAGGGAGCGGGATGACCAATGTCCATGAATGTTGATAAATGTACAAAGAATCAACTAAAATTAAAAAACAGTGGAAAAAACCTCGGGGAGCCCAACATTGAGAGAAGGATCCGCTCCAATAATTGGACCGGCTTCAGATCCAGGACTGAGGCTGTGAGCTGCAGGACTGAGGAGGCTCCCAGGCGAGGGGGGGCTGGAGACCTAATGGAGACCAAAGATTAAAAAAAAGCTTTGTTCTTCTGCTGACACATGAGTTCAAATAAGAATTACAAATCCTTAAAAGGTCTTCAGTTGTACTTGACCCAGACCTGATCGAATGTGGACTGGCATTTTTATTATTTTGTCATTGTGGAATCTAAAGAGTTATTAACTGTATTCTTTATTCATTGTGGAGTTATTAACTGTATTATTTTGTATTGTGACATTAGTTAAATATATAAGTAATTGTTTTATTTGAGAATGGTTGGTCTCTATGGCTTCTGCTGCTTGGAATCTGCTTTAATCCAGTGATCGGTAAAAGGCAATGATAAATGTCCGTCCGGTGTTCTCGTATTATAAACAGTCTTTCTAGGCCAGGCAGCAGTCAGAGGCAGTCACTTTGGAAACATAACAGTGTCGGAACATGCAGCCAAACTAACAAACTAATCATTATTTACCTACATCTAAAGGCTGTAAATAAAGATTACATGTTGTCTGTTTGGTCCACAGAACAACAAACCTCCAAATCCTCCAGCCTTCATCTTTATGATCGACGTCTCCTACAACAACATTAAGAGTGGGCTGGTCCAACTCATTTGTAACGAGTTGAAGACGCTGCTGGAGAATCTACCAAAGTAACTACCACTTTGTAATTCTTTCTCAAATGTGTGTTTTTGCCACGTAAAAAAGATAATCAAAGTGAAAATCTGTTGATATTCTGTTGCATGAAAAGTCTTACTTAAACACTTTTTTTTTGTGTGATTTAAACAAAAAAATTGATTCGACATCATTTGGCAGCTTCATCCAGGCTGATATCAGGATCTTCTTGCCTAAATTTGCCCCTTCTGTCTAAATGCTCCTGTCTCAAACTCATCATTGACAGAACAAACCAAACGTAGTCTTAGTTTTGGAAAATGATCCACTCATATGGCTTAGAAGTTTTCTTTTAAGACAAGAAATTTAAACATTCGGCAACTACAGCTGAGAGGAGACAGTCACACCACAGCGTGTCACATCTGACCAAGGTATTTTAGCAGCACTGGCTTCTTACATGTTTTGTCTTGAACCTTCCAAGCCTTAAACATAATAAGACAAAATTAACTTTTTACAATTAAGTCCCAGTCATATGCTCTTTACAGTTGAGTTCAGTAACATTTTAGATGTTTTCTAGGAGCCTGTTCACACTTGGTCTGGTTCACTTTAACTGGACCCATACTGGCTCACTCGGGGCAAAACTGATGTGTTTGTGGATGTAAAACCACCAGAGAAGTTCACATTTTCTTCTGCCAGTGAGGCATTGTTTTCCCAAGTGAGCCAGAGTTGGTCCAGTTGAAGTGAACCAGGGTTGGTCCAGTTAAATTGAACCAGTGTTGGTCCAGTTAAATTGAACCAGTGTTGGTCCAGTTAAATTGAACCAGTGTTGGTCCAGTTAAATTGAACCAGTGTTGGTCCAGTTAAATTGAACCAGTGTTGGTCCAGTTGAAGTGAACCAGAGTTGGCCCAGTTAAATTGAACCAGTGTTGGTCCAGTTAAATTGAACCAGTGTTGGTCCAGTTAAATTGAACCAGTGTTGGTCCAGTTAAATTGAACCAGTGTTGGTCCAGTTGAAGTGAACCAGAGTTGGCCCAGTTAAATTGAACCAGTGTTGGTCCAGTTAAATTGAACCAGAGTTGGTCCAGTTGAAGTGAACCAGAGTTGGTCCAGTTAAATTGAACCAGAGTTGGTCCAGTTAAAGTGAACTAGAGTTGGTCCAGTTGAAGTGAACCAGAGTTGGTCCAGTTAAATTGAACCAGAGTTGGTCCAGTTAAAGTGAACTAGAGTTGGTCCAGTTAAAGTGACCTTAATCCAGAAGTGTGACCGCTGTGTAAATAGCAGAATGCACTTTCCTTCTTCTGCCTCTAGATGGGGGTGTTCTACAGATCAGGATTTCAAACCAATTAAAACACACTGTAAAAACAGACAAATGGCAATACAAAAAAACATTATAAAAGTGTTGCCAGTTTAAAGGAAATAAAATCCACATCTTACAACAGTCTGGTGGTATAGAAGATCCAGATAACTTGATGCCAGTTTAAATACTTTATACCTGTTATTACATCTTTTTTTCTTTTCCAGAGAGGACGGCAGTGAGAGCTCAGTGATAAAAGTGGGCTTTGTCACTTACAACAAGATCCTTCATTTCTACAACGTGAAGAGCGCCCTGGCCCAGCCGCAGATGATGGTGGTGTCCGACACGGCCGAGATGTTTGTGCCGCTGCTCGACGGATTCCTCGTCAACTACCAGGAGTCCAAGGCCGTTATCTACAAGTAAGTTCCGCACATTTGCAAAAAGAGTGTTTGTGGCTTCGAGCGAGAGAAAAAACCCCACCCACGCTAACTCACCTCTCTTTTCTCGTTCTTTTCCCGTCAGCCTTTTGGATCAGATCCCGGACATGTTTGCCAACTCAAACGAGAGCGAGACGGTCTTTGCCCCCGTGATCCAGGCCGGAGTGGAGGCGCTTAAGGTTAGTGGGGTCTGCCAACACCTAAACCCAGATCCAGGGGTCCAGTGTTCTCATGTTCACGGACATCATGTGGGATTTTAGATTTATAATAGTCGAACACAAGAATGCACTCCTCCGATCACTTTGGGGGTTTTTCTCTCCCAGTGCAGGTTCTTGAGGGAGCCTATGTACAACAACTCCGAGAACTTGTGTATTGGTTTTACGACACGGCAGCTTCAAGATTTTTTTTTAAACCCAAAACTTTGCAATGTCAATGTCAGCTTTATTCGTATCGCACATACCAGCTGCCCAAAGTCCTACACAGGCGCAAAAGATAAAAATGAAAGCAAACAGCAAAAAATACATATAAATGCATGTACAAAGTAAAAACTCAGTTGGTGTTTAAAGCCAAGGCGTAAAAATGTGTCTTTAGACTGGATTAAAAACCTCCAATGAAGGAGATTCTCTCATGAGCAGAGGCAGACTATTCCACAGTTCGGGGGCAGCAACAGAAAAGCAACGCTCTCCTTGACTTTGGGCATAATCAACAAAAACTTAACGTAATCTACGTTTTTTTTTTTTAAACGCATAAAAAGATTTTTCAGCCAAATAGCTTGTCCAAACTATGCACGACCCCTGGGAAAATGACCGTCCTCAAAGCATTCTTTCAATCGGAATGTTAAATGTGATAAGAAGTGATTATTTTTTACCTTTTTATGAAGCCAAAATTCCTGGTCTTCTTCTACAGATTTCTGGCTGATCTGTTTCACCCATTTTGATTTTGTAACAGTTGTGACAGGTTGTTAATGTCTCTTGTCCACCTGGTCTGAGTTTGGACACTCCTGGTTTGATCACAAATGGTGCTGTAACTCACGATTCTTTTGATTATCCGTCAATCTAGAAAATGTTCTCGTTCTTTCGCTGAATCAAGTAGTTTTTGTTGAACGCAGAAACAATATTCTGTCTCAGTTTGACAGTGGTAAAGCTGTAGCAAGTAAAGCCACCAGAGGACATTCTCAATATGCAACATACTGTGTGTATTGGATATTTTCTTTTAACTATGGACCGTCTTGTATTGTGCCCTTCATAAAGATTAATAATAATAATACTTAAAAAATAAATAAATACAGAACAGAGCTTTCTATCTTTAAAAACAGGTCATCTTCACAATTCCTGATTTCTAAATTGAAATGAGTTCCTTGTTTGAGTGTCAAAATAATAACGTGTGGAAGTTGGCAAGACGAGAAGTTGGCGATTCATTGATCACTAAAATAATTGATTAGTAAAAACGTGACCTGTTCCTGCTCGTTATGACGGCACTGATTAGAAAGATGGAGTGTTCTTTTTATTTTCTTCTGTGTTTATGTTTGTAAAGCTGATCTAGGAGAGACACGTCCACAACAAATGCATATTCATAAACATCTGTACCATCAGCTTTTGATTATGAACAACAGAAAATGACAATTGCTTGAGAACGGCATTAAAAAGATGCAGAAGAATAAAATTTTCACCAAAAAAATGAACTATGTAATAAAATGTGTTTGCGTATTAAATAGATTTCATTTTGTTGAGAAGTTGAGATTCTCCTCGGCTCTTTTTCAGGCGGCAGAATGCAGTGGAAAGCTCTTCATCTTCCAGTCGGCCATGCCCACCGCCGAGGCGCCCGGAAAACTGAAAAACAGAGATGACAAAAAACTCATTAACACCGACAAAGAAAAGGTGAGAACACGTTTTCGTTTTAAGTTGCAGAGATGGGACCGTCTCGGGTAAACGCATCCAATTGGTTTGTTGGGAATGAACGGATCCCATTGGTTTATTTTTATCGGTCCGCTCCAAAATATTATTTATTAATTTTTGGAGACTATAGGCATCTGGTCAATTCCATTACTATTTGAAAACACATGATAACTTTTAGGGTTTAGGGACGTTTTCCCACAATATTTTAAAAAATGCATCTGGAAAAAAATCACAGACTGCATCTTTAAAGCAGATGACGACCAGCCTTAATGCTAACTGTGGTTTGGTAATAAGTCCACGTCAGAAAGAATACCAGTAATTAAGACCATACCACACAAGGCTCTCAATCATAAACAATAACATCACACAGGGCGTTAAGAAGAGTTAGGATACAATTATTCAGTGGTTTGCACAGCTAAACAAAACTGTTTTCAACCTGGATTTGAACAAGAGTCAGTACAGTAGAAGCCTGTCTTACATTTTCAGGAAGACTGCCCCTGTGCTCCTCAGAGTCTGAGCTGGCACCACTAGTAAAGCATTTCTTAATTGGTCCACTTCATTAAAAAGCAGAGTTGAGTGAAATGTACTCAATTTAATCGTTTGACACAGAAAATATAAAAATAATCTTGGAAAATGAACAGACCATTAATATTTAGACCCAAAATCTATAGTTTCATCCATGAGTTATTGAACGTTAAGTCGATATAATAATTATCTTGACAGTAACTCACCTCTCGGTGTGGTTTCTTCTCTGCAGACTCTCTTTCAGCCTCAGAAGGCCGTGTACGAGCAGCTGGCCAAAGATTGCGTGGCGACCGGCTGCAGCGTGGACCTCTTCCTCTTCCCCAGTCAGTACGTGGACCTGGCAACCATGGCCAGCATCCCCTCCCACACCGGGGGCTCCGTCTACAAGTACATCAACTTCCAGGTGCAATAAGAAATAAAACATTATACACGTTACTCCCCAGCGTGCACAGTGACCTCTAGTGGTATGGAATTGTTATAGCTTATTTTTGAAAATGTTAAATTTGCAAGAATGAGGATTAGTGACGGTGAAGCATTTTAATGTATCTAAGGAACATATAGCAGGGGTCTCCAACCTGTAGCTCAGGAGCCACCAGTAGCTCACCAGCCTCTTACAGGTAGCTCGCCAAAGGATTTAGAATTTAACAAATACACTTCAACGAATACTTTTTGAGCCATTACATATCTATTACAAGTACAAATATAGGGTTATACAGTATTATGGTGTGTTTTATATGTGTTCTCTGAGTTTGGTCGTAATTATTAGATCGACTTTTATTACGACTGCAAAAAGGAGTAGCTCTCTGCCAGTTTGTTTGTATAAAAGTAGATCCTGACATAGAGGGTTCAATTGGAAGAACCTTGAAGTTTATATGGCAGTTGTTTATTCTTTTCTAATTGTGTCTTTTTGTGGTGGAATGATGCAAGTTTTTTATATAAAGTTTTACCTGGAACATTGGTTTGAAAAAAATAAATAAAAACCATACATTTACAGGAAGTACAGCAATGTTCTAGAACTGATGATATCATGAGTCAGAGACCTTTAATAAAATAAATGCGGCAAAACTGTAAATAAATGTTTTGAATGTCGTAAATACAATTGAATCAACTTAAGTCTAGACTGTCATGTGCTTTAAATTGCAATTTTTTTTCTATATTCAAATACATTTTCCAAATCTGCCAAAATCAAGCTAACTAATGTCATTCTCGGCTACGGTACGGTGACATCTAGTGGCCAGAGAGAGTTTTGCACCTCATAGTGACTCCATGATAACCCTCCACAGGTGGAGACAGACGGGGAGCACTTCCTGAGAGACCTGAGGAAAGACGTTCAGAAACCCATCGGATTCGACGCCGTGATGAGAGTTCGCACCAGCACGGGTAAACTGCTCACATCTCAATTTATTTGTATAGAACAATTTGTGTACAAGGCGATTCAAAGTGCTTCACAGAGCAATTTAAAAACACTGAAATGCAGAAAGTCAATGAAACATACTATCCTTTTAATATTAAAACAGAGCAGCATAAAAAGTGTTTTTGCTCTATTGAGTGAGTAAGTAATCTTTATATTCTGCCTTTCACAGACCAGAGTCACAAAGCAGTTTACAATTGTTATTTTTGGGCATTTGTCTCTCACTCCACGCAGAGATGGGAGCGGGGCCAGTACAGGAGGCGCATGCCAGACCTATTGTACATATTTTTAGTGGTAGGGGAAACCAGAGCACCCAGAGGAAACCTACACAGACACGGGGAGAACATGCAAACTCCACTCAGAAAGGCCCTGTTCTGACCGGGATTCGAACCCGGACATTCTTGCTGAGGAGCGAGAGAGTGCTATCCACTCAGCCACCGTGCCGCTCTAGTTACAGCACCATTGACTGTTTTAACATTAATTTTGGGTTGATTCCAGGCTTCAGAGCGACGGACTTCTTCGGGGCGGTTCACATGAACAACACCACAGACGTGGAGATGGCGTCCGTGGACTGCGATAAAGCTGTTACTGTTGAGTTTAAACACGACGACTCTCTGGGCGAAGACGCAGGAGCACTCATCCAGGTACAGTATTCTCCTCCTCCATCCCTCACCTTTTAGACCTGAGGACTTATATCAGTTGTTTTCCCGCAGTGTGCCTTGCTCTACACGACTCTGAGCGGACAGAGAAGACTCCGCATCCACAACCTCAGTCTCAGATGCAGCTCACAGTTGCAAGACATGTTCAAGAGCTGCGAGACGGATTCCCTCGTCAACTTCTTTGCCAAATCAGGTGAATGACAAAAGATATACAGCGCTTTACTTGTACTTTACATGTTTTTATAATTAAGAAGTGTTAATTAATAAAATAGAAAGAAGAAAACTGAATGAACCAGGGGACACGTGCAAATCTGCCTTTTTCTGTCTTTTTAACATTGTGTCAAAGTTTCTTTAAACAATTTGAATTACAAATCTGCCAACCTTCGAGTCTAAAAATGTATGTGACTCATGCAGATTTGCAATAAAACAATATGATTTAGGCCCAAAGTAAAATTCTCTTACTCCAACTAAGATACAAACCTCTCAGTTCAAGCTATTATTACCTCATTTAATCATTTTTTGCAGTGTGTGGCTGAGTTTGCTGCTCAGTTTTGGCATTATTTGCTTCCAAAAAGATAGACTAGGAAAGAGGAGAGGTGACGTCCACTGACTTTGTGATGCGCCTCTCCCACTGACTCCGTCACTGATTCTTTTACTGAAGTGGGAAATGAGCAGCACCTGGTTCACATAAAGCGTGGCGTCTGTTATCTGCACAGTTGAGCTACTCCCTGTGTTGCCTCTGGCTTTGACCCAGCTTCAAACTGTCCATATCTCTGGGTTTGTCGTGAAGCTGTATCTAGTCGTATCTCACGTCTAATTCATTTGAACTCCCTAAAAACACTTGAAGTCCTTCTGCCTCTGATCGTGACCTCTCTCTCTCGGCTGCAGCGTATCGAGCCGTTTTGAAGCAGCCCGTGAAGAGCGTGAGAGAGATCCTCGTCAACCAAACGGCGCACATGTTAGCGTGCTACAGGAAGAACTGCGCCAGTGCCAGTGTCGCGAGTCAGGTAAGGCCTCAGTGCGAGTATTCTGGTCTGAAGAGATGGTCTGGTTAGTGCTGGGATGGGAGACCTCTGGGAACACTCCATACACCACCATGTATGAAGTGAAAGAATCATGACACGTGAAGCCTCTTTGCGTGTCATGAAAAGCAATATTAAAAAATGTGTGCATTATAATTATTATTATTATGCATTGGAATGAACACAAAATATATGTGCACACAGGACTCATACAGTCAGTTTTTCGCTTCAAAAAAGATTGTTGTTCCACAGATTCGAACTCAAACATTCATAATTACTTCATAAAGAAACTTTGTAAAATTGTGATTTTGCCTCTGAACAAATATAGACTTTTGTAGAAATTCACAAACACAATGTTGGTCAGAAATATCACAATTAGATATTTTACCAAAATCGTGCAGACAAGACAACTTTAACAATGGGGATGTATAAACTCAACTTCTTGTGTATATACTGTATTAGTCCACAGATTTTGTTTCAAACGTCGTCAATGGCAACAGCCCCCTCCCACCTCGCTGCTGTCTGACTCTTCCCTCACAAATCCATAAAGCTCCTGTTGTTTCAATCTTCCAAAGTGAACGTGTCTTTTCTTCTTCTTATGTGTGGCGTGTGGTGTGTGTTGTGTGCAGCTGATCCTGCCCGACACCATGAAGGTGTTCCCGGTCTACATGAACAGTCTGATGAAGTCTGCTCCTCTGGTGGCGAGCACAGAGCTGCCCACAGACGACAGGGCGCAGCAGCGGCTGTCCGTGGTGGCCATGGGCGTGGAGGAGACTCAGCTGCTGCTTTACCCGCGCCTCGTTCCCCTGGTAACACTCACGCTACATCACAGTCATTTTTAACACTGCTTTATTATTTATTTATTACTTTACTGTGTCATCTTCATTACTTTACACTTTTTTCTCATGTAACATACAACATAACAAGACGTATTTTATTTTACAAATTTTAACCTTTTTGCCCCCACTATGCTCCCCTTATGTCAAATATGTTGTTCCAAATTAAATGAAATGGCAAATCCGGCACCTCCACAATGAACTGATATCCAAAGAGCTCTGGTGTGTACTATCCTGCTGCACACTGGTCTTGTATAGTTATTCCAATGTGGTTTTACTGCAAATACCCAATAAACTGAATCTTGGCTCTTGAAGTTGAACCACCCCTGTCTCTCATCAGCTCACGTCCTCATACCTGTGTGTGTGTGTGTGTGTTTTCTGATGTAGCACAACGTGGACCTCGGCAGCGAGGCTCTCCCCGCTCCCGTGCGCTGCTCCGAAGAGCGCCTCTCGGACTGCGGCCTGTTCCTGCTGGAGAACGGACACTCCATGTTCCTGTGGCTCGGTCAGGGCTGCCCGGCCGAGCTCATCCAGGGCCTCTTCAACCTGCCCTCCCTCGCCCACCTGCAGCCCAACACGGTGAGCCACGCAAATCACCATGACGACCACACTATAACATGCAGTACAAGAAACAGACTTAAAGAGACATGCACTGGAGAGGGACACACGTTTATATTCTTTCAACCTGGCAATGGAAGTGAAAATTAAATTAGGGAATGGATTCAATACTTTGAGTTGTTTTTAAGTATCTGTTAATTTACTTAAAACTATTCTTTTTGTTCACTTTATTGATATTTATTGGTGTTTTTCTTCTCTTCCAGTCGGAGCTGCCAGCCCTAGACAACCCACTGTCAAAGAAAATTCGCTCCATCATCGACAATCTGCTTGAGAAGAGGCCAAATTCAATGAAAGTAAGAAATCGTACTACAGCAACAAGGCTCTATTATACTCCCCCTAGTGGAGATACAATGTCATAGCAGTCAGATTTCTCCATTTTACTTTACTGCAATATTTAACATTTTTCTCTAAGTTTTATCCGTCTATCTATCGCTGTAATTTCCTACTGGATACATACCCAGATAGATAAAAAAAATCTTTGTGGACATTTATCAGTATATATGGACATTAGTCATCTGCCCCTTACAAGTCAAATGATCTATAAAACCATAAAAACTGAATTTCTGTGTCATTCCTCAGCTTCAAATCGTGCGGCAGAAGGACAAGCCGGAGATCCTATTCCGTCAGTTCCTGGTGGAGGACAAGGCTCTCTACAGTGGGGCCTCCTACATGGACTTCCTCTGCTTCGTGCACCGGGAGATCAGACAGCTCCTCTCCTAACCTCCACACGGACAATAAAACCACGGGGCCCGAGCCTCCGCCTGCGCCCAGGGACCAAACACATTAGTCACTTATTTAAGTTCAAAACCAGGAGCGAACTCTGGGGATTCCAAAGCTGCCTTTTTACACACCACAGACCGACAAGTTTCATCTCAAACTCTTTTTAAAGTCTCGGGTTGTTTTATAACTCAGTATTACAGGTAAAAATGAATTCTCACAAAAGCAATATAACACAAATCTTCACTGTGGATTCAAAGCTTATTCTCGAGACCTGCAGTTCAATTTCTGCAATAAAAGGGGCTTTCACACGCACATTCCCTCTATGCTTTGTTAAGAGACTTGTAAAAACGTTTCCAGATTATATTTACGAAATAGCTTTATGAGTCTGAAGTCCAACTATTTCCAACGGATGGTGCTACAACGCCATATCTCGTCATTATCGATACTGTGTGTGCCATGATCTCTGTTATGTCTGTCGCTCTGTGCTCCTAAATAATGGGAAGTGCAATCCTTCAACACACTCTATTCATCTTGTTGTTAGCTGTGTTTGTCCAGGAGTGACCCATTGTGGTTTTTTAAAGTGCCGGTCAAACCTGGACCAAGTTTACACAATAGATTCTGAGTTCTCGGTGTAACTACAGTATTGTTTTAGCACAAAAAATAGCCTCCTGTCCCAAAGAACTAGTCCCTGTACTCCATCTTTTTCCTTTTGGGTGCATCTACAGTCAAAATAGCAGCTGTTTTGCACATTTATCTATGTAACTGGTTGAAAAGTCTCTTGAAAGTTTAGCTTGAAATATATTGTATTTGTGAGTTTGGTCCAAATTCATCCCAAAATGTTTAATTTTAGTGTAAATCGAAAGGATACATCTTTATTTTGGTCTTGGATGGCTTTATTTTATCAATTGACTGACAAGATAGGAACAGGCTTAAGTCCATCTTCTCTTCACATCACTCTCTTTATGTCGACGACAAAATCTTGGTCCAGATGAACTCTTGTTCAAACTGCACTTTCTTTGTAATCTCGTGTTTGTCCTCTCTTCTGAATGTTCTAAAAGGGACATTTGAGAGTTTGAGCCATGTCTGAATTCATAAACGATACTCGGAGGTGTAAAAGGATTCATATTCAGAGCCAAAAATGCCCGTTGGTCTCACATGTGTAAAAAGGCTCATAAGATTTTGACAGTATTGGCTTAGGAAATGGTCCAATCACATTTTGCATGTTCTGTGTCCCCTTTATGTACGTCAGAATGGAACGATAAAGTTTATTCTTTCAACATATTGTGCCTTTATTTTAACATATTGCCTTAAGTTGTTGTAGTTTTTGTGTTGCGCCCAAATTGGTTTGTATGCAAATAAATCTCAGGTGGAAATCAAATCCATTTTTATTTTTTACTTAGAACTTGTGCAGCCTCATTATACTATTTAAATAAATCCTGCCGTGTGTCGTTTCAAAAATGTTTTAAACACAAAACTAAACATTAAGAATCAAAAGACGTCCTGCTCAATAAAGAACTTGTCATTATTTCTCCAGTGTGTCTTGAATCTCTGCCAAAAGGAAAGTCTCGGCCGTGATCAACATTTTCATCCTGATGTCTTTAGTTTGTGTTTATTTCTGAGCCACTGAAGCACACGCACTTAAAGCTGGGTTACGCAAGTTTAATACATGTCCCAACAGACAACAAGGGACTATCTATCGCATCATTATTGTTTGAATTTGCATACGTGTAAGAACGAGCCCTGAGAGTAATTATCTGATGCTTTGGACTGAGAGCTGATTGGCTGAATGAGGGGGGTCCTCTCTTTTATACTTTTCTGCCTGAAAACGCTAATCTGAAGATGTGACAAAGGCCATAAATACACGAACACTTAGAATAGAATCAAAACACTCAAAGTTTTTGTAGTTTCAATTTTAGGTACATCAGCTTTGATTCTAATTTCTTTATGTATTATGTAAATATTGTTTCAGTGAAAGTGAACAGATTTGTCAGTTGATCCATGGTGGGTTTTCCAGCCCATTTAACACCTGCTCTGTGGTTGTATGACAGGCAGAGCTGCAATTACTTCAGAATGAAAAAGTTTTTGTATGTTGTATGTTAATGAAAATGTTATTAATTTTCATTATTTAGAAAATTAATAACATTTAATGACTTTGTTTGGAAAAGGAAAATGTGACGCTCATGGTGTTTTTTACCATCTCTCCAACAGTATGTCTCATCTAATACTGAAAGCAAGATCTATCCACCAGAGGGCAGCAGATTACACATTTTGGACCATGCTTTGATGGTCTTATTTACAACATTATAATTATATTCATATCATATTTGTACGTATATCATAGTATGCTCATTATCCTCCTAAAACCTGCCCATTAAAGAGACATAATATCAGTCTTATATTCTTCCCCTAATAATAATAATAATAATACTAATAATAACAATAATAACAATAATACAAGGCACACAGACACTTATTTGACATTTTTCTTTTTGGAAATAAATACATTTCATAACATGATCCAAAAATAATAAATTTGCAAAAAACCTTTCACTGATCGGTCGACATGCATCTGCGCGCTTCAATCCAAAGTTTGATGATTGCATTTGTCCAAGTACTTACCAAAGTCTCCCAGCGAAAAGTCAATGTAATTATGAAATGTTGGTCTAACAGAATAAACTCATTTACAGCATAATCCAATCGTGTTCAGTGAGTGATGGGGGTCCATAAGAGGAGCTTTATACCCAGCATGCCTTGTGTTGGCCCACAGAGGTCAATCAGTCGCAGCAAAGTGCTCATAGACTTAAGAGGCAGCTACACAAACATGGTGGAAATGCCAAAACAAGACTTAAAGTGACTTAAAGTGCTTATGACAGGTAGATTCTCACAAAACACTAGCAAGAATACTGTCATCTAGATTTTGCCATGCCAGTTTGGCCATATTCTGGTTTAGAATTTCACACACTGGTTGTAAATGATGAGATAACAGGAATGTTTACTCGCTATAACAGTTGTGCTTGAAAGTTCTCATTCATCATCTCAAACAAACACATTAGTGGTTTTGTGGAGCCCTTTAGTGTCAAATAAACAAGTTTTCTATTTTTAAACTCTAACATTGATCTGCTCTGGGGAGATCTCAAACGTGCAGCCCAGGATTTTACAGTTCATGCATGGCAGCCCAGGATTTTACATTGTTGGTTGAGCATTCAGATTGACTGCAGGTGTCACATCAGCTCCATCGGTGATTTCTGTGGTCACTGTAATTTTTGACTGCTGTCTTTGACCCGCCTCTACCCCAGTGTTTTGCGTTCACTGGTGTGTGTGTGTGTGTGTGTGTATTTGTGCGTGTGGTTGGATCCTTGATGTGAAGTGCTTTGAGTGCCTTGATAAGATAGAAAAGCGTTGTATAAATGCGACCCTTAGGAACTGGAGGCTTTTTGCCAAGAAGAATGTGCAGCTTCAGGATCAGAGGAAGAACTCATCCACAAGACTCCACCGTCAGATGTTTAAAGGGCAATACACACTATTAAGATCTGGGGAACAAACTTATCATTATAATATAAAAGTAGAAAACACATCTATTTGACAATTAATGGCCTCGCACAACCAGTGAAAAAAACTCTTTTGTGATTTTTGATTGCTGACAGGTGGCCAATACTTTTCCCCAGACATCTTAGCCAGAATGTACACTTCCATTCCAACTGAATAGACACAGAAACTATATTTTATAAGTGTAAGTAGTAGTAGTAAGTAGTAGTAGTAAGTACTGTCTTCACAAACTGAATCTTTATCAGTGAAAAACTATCATTTGTAGTTAAGTCAAACACTGTTACACCAGTAAAAGTCAAAATAATGAACTGTCATCTGCACTTTAGGACGTATTAAGTTACTTAACGGTAACCATATACAGACGTAATCCAAAAACCTGACATTCACTTTCAGAGGTGAACTCTCCTTTAATACTGTACAACTCTGTACAATCCTTCCTACAATGAACGCAACACTGTATAAATACTAGCAACAACAACAGTACTCGTGTGGTACAGACCCAAGTGCAAATGTGTGAGAGCAGAAACTGTCAAATATAAACTTTGTGAATGAAAGCACGTAGCCTTTTGGATGGGAAGACGTCAAGTCACAGTGATGCTAGAAAAAGGTTGTTATCCATGGGAAAGAAAGATGTGTTAGAAAACTCCAAATGCAGTGGTGTGCAGATGGATCTCAAAAAAGACATTGAAACTGATTTGAACTAATTTAGTCCATACGTTTTGTAAGGAGTGCTTTATAATTCTATTTTTCCAGAGAATAAGATACACCATTTAATTGTTAAGCGACCAAATGTATATGAATCCGGGCGTATATATTCATGCACCATTTTTCTTATTTTGATTGTAAAAAAGTTTATGACCAAGATTTTGTCAATCTCATTTGTTCATAGAATTGTGTAAGGATCGGCCAATCCGTGCGGTAAGTATAATTCAAACTTTTTTACATTATAGCTTCAGATGGTGTTGCAATTAGCCAACTCTTAGCATTCTATTTGACTGTTTTGCAGAGAAGCACAGCCAACAGACTTAGAATAGCAAGATATACAGCTGCACAAGCGTTAATGCCCAGAGTGACGACGTTTTACCATTGCGTGTTTTTGTGGTGGTCCCAGCGGTCTCCCATCACAGTACGAACCAGGCGATGCCCTGCTTAGCTCACAAGAAAAAACAAACAGCTAGAATCATTACTGACTTAATCGCTCATGTAGTTTTAGTATGGACTAACATGTTTCTGTCACACCGTAGTACAAAAGGCGGTGTGGATAATCATACATTTTCTCATTTCCTGAATCTGACTGATTGACCCAGAAATATATGAGTGTTATATCAAACTTTGAAAGCTCGTCACTTGTTTGCACTGGGGTTTGCACTTGTACCTGGAATGGACTTGCAAAAAGAATCATAAATAGACTTAAAAAGCAGCATTTCTCAAGACAAAGATTGCGGTAGTTGAAAAGTGGTTCTCCCGATGGTGAAGGTGTGTGCTTCTGTAGACAAACCGACGCTCTGCTCCGACCTGACATCAGTCAATCCTGGAATTGTCTTTTCATGGTTGGCAAGTAAACATGGACAAAGTCTGAAACCATCTCTCATATATTTCTCATCTATTATCTATACTATTTACAATTTCAAATGGTTCCTACAGTCTTTTTTTAGTGGAAACACAGACCACAATGAGAAAGTGTGAGAAATACTCTGGAGTTAAAAGCCAGTTTGAAGTTTATGTTTTTAAATGAGAAAGTGCTGGATATGTTATTATTTCATATTTTTGAACGTGGTCAAAGTTCAGAGTGATGTCACATGACAGGAAGTGGTCGGACGATCGAAACTGGACAGTCGCTTCATTCAATTGAGAGTAGACCTCACTTAAAGGTGATGTCACATAATTCCATTTTCTTTATTTTTTAGACTAATTTATATTTTTTACCACGGGATAGTGTACTAGTATATATATGAAGTATTTTTCAAGAATAATATTTTTTAAATAGTCCCTCCCCTTGGCATAACTAGGACCAGTACAATTTGCTGGAGGAGAACAGTTAAACCAATGACAAGGGGCCTCTATGATTTCGACCAATCAGGAGGCTCGTCTTCCGCTTCCTCATCACGGTTTGAAAATGACATCAACTTAAAGAATAACTTTCCTCAACGTCTGGCATGTTATAGTTGTTTCCGCGTAAAAAAAAAAAAAATGTTCGATTCATGCATTTTAAAGTTATTTATATCCTTAAATATGCGCTCCGTCGTTGCTCTGCCCTCAGTCCTCTGAATATTGCCCAAAATATACATGCAAACCATTTTGAGAGCTGGGAACTACGACGATGGTTTTATATAGTGTCGTTTTATACTTTACTTTGCCATGCTTATGTTGAATTTGTTAAAAGTGTAAAAACTATTCCAACATTTATGTTTTATATTGTTTTTGTCAGACTCTGAGGAGCACAGGGACCGACCTCCTGCTGGTGCCCAGACTCAGAACTAAACACGGCGAGGCAGAATTTCACATTTATGCATCTAAAATCTGAAAATTCTTGAAAATGTGAGACAGACTACTACTCCGACAATGTTCAAATATTAAAGTTTCCCAAGTGATCAAAAAACGAAACGCTCCCCACCTCAGCTTGGCAGTAAATGATTTTATATTTCTTCTCGCTGTCGTCAAAAGACATTATCTTTATCTTTTTTGTCATGATAGAAGAACGTGTTAGTTCTTTGCGGCTGTGATCGAACAGGCTTTAACTCCAGAGTGCTCCTGCTGTATTGCCTACTCCTACCTGAAGCCCGCTGTAATGAGCTCTAAGTTATTTTCATGGTCAAAAGTCTGCATAGCGCTCTGTACACAGTATGAGTCCAAACGTGTGACACTGGGCCGAGCTCCACGAGTCTCCACAACGCCGCCCAGAGTTAGAGAACGTTCTCGAAGAGGTGCATCGATCGCATGATGTTCTCATCCTAAAAACACAGCAGAGAATGAATGGATGGAGGTGGATTGGTGTATGAGAATCTGTATGATGTGTCACGTTTGGAAATATTGTCATAGTTGTAAAAAGGCTCAGGCAGTATTATTCTTGACTTCAGCCTAAACCTCTTTTGGTCAGGCATTATTTAGCAATACCTTAGATATTATTTATATTAGTAAAATATTCTTAATAAAATCATCTAAAACAGGTCTGTGCCTCATTGTTGATTTTGTAAAGTCAAATGGAGGAAAAGCTCTCATAATCTTTGCTTCCTGTTGATTATAATGGTGCAGTTCTTCTAACGCCCAGCAGATGGCGAATGTTTCAATTGTTTTAGTGCATCAAAAACACTGACACCGGTGGTAATAAAAGTGTTACATGATCATTGAGGTCTCAAACTTGCCGCAGGTTCTGAGGCTTCCCATCAGGACTGACATGCGTCTACAACTCCCACTGCAGATTGCCGGAGCAACCCCCCCCCAAGCCGAAAAAAGCATTTTTGCAAAGTAGCGAATAAAAAAACTGCCAATTTTCACGCATGTCTCTGGGCACGCTGGAGTTAATGTAATGAAACTGAAACTAAAAGTAGATGGATTGTTTTTAATTTTCTCAAAAAAATATCACCAGCAGGCACTTTCCATGGAACAGCCACTTGTGAAACCGAATTTTAGTGAATAAAAAATGCACCAGAATGTATAACGTCCAATCAGATGCCCCGCCCTGACCCTTTCATACATTTGAAAGCTGGTAGAGGATGCAAATGTTATTGGTCATTTGTGATTTGTTATTTGGTCCCTGTGGTGTAAAGTAATTCAACATTTTCAGGGCTTGCAGAACATCATGGACCGTTTTTGTTATTGCTACTTTATTGTGTCATTTTTACTAATTCACACTTTTTTATTAAGTTACATACAGCATGGCAAGACACCACAATCTTGGTGTCAAATAATAATAGTAATAAAGTCTAAAAAAATAGTTGCACACGAAGAAACATAAAAAAAGAAAAAAAAAAAGAAAACATTAACATAAATTACGGTTCTTAAGATAAAAAAACCATTTATACAACATAATACACCAGCTTTAAGATTGTCTCCTGTGTTTATTAGTTTACTAGGGTAATGTAAAAGTAGGCAGTCAGATAATAACAGCTTATTAACCTCACTGGCTCTGTCTGTACAGAGAAATATCAGACCGGGCCGTGGCGAGGTCTGTGCAAACTCGTCCGGAAAATAGAATTCACTGAGAACGTTCCCAGTCGTCGTTCATTATTTCTTTTTTACCGAGAAAAGATATCAAATGTGATATGCGCTGCGGACCAATTGTCATGGTAACAGTCCGAGATGGGAAAATATCAGACCGCAAATTAGCCAATCAGAGCGTGCGTAGGAGTCATATAACACACATTTATAAAACATGACATTCCCACATATAAGATATAATATAAAACATTTAACTTTGAATGTTTCTCTACTCACATTTTGGCAGCAGTCAATAAATTCATCTATGGTTACCACTCCGTCTTTATTCTTATCCATCTTCTGTGAGAAAGCAGGACAGTGGGCATTAGGAGGTGATGTCTGAGGGTGAGGGTGAGTGAGAGAGAGAGTGAGGGCTCCGTCACCTGGAAGAAGACCTCTACGTGCTGTCGAGGGGTCTCTTCTTTGAGGACGGGGTACGTGCACTTCCCCATCATGTCGTAGATGGCCTTCATGATGTCCAGCATCTCCTGCTCACACAAACAAACACATATAGATGAACAGATAGATAGATACTTTAATGGTCCCTCATAGGAGAAATTCAGGTGTCCAGCAGAAACACATCATACAAACGGCGGCACGGTGGCTTAAGGTCCTAGGTTCGAATCCCGGTCGGACAAGGGCCTTTCTGAGTGGAGTTTGCATGTTCTCCCTGTGTCTGTGTAGGTTTCCTCCGGGTACTCCGGTTTCCCCTACCACTAAAAATGTACAAAAGGTCTGGTATGCGCCTCCTGTACTGGCCCTGCTCCCATCTCTGTGTGGAGTGAGAGACAAATGCCCAAAAATACCAATTGTAAACCGCTTTGTGACTCTGGTCTGTGAAAGGCGGTATATAAATAAAGATTACTTACTTACTTACAAACAAAACAAATAAATAGATCATTCTAAAAATAGCCATTATGGTGCGCTATAGGTAAGATTAGATATTTTCTTTGGATGTGAAATTGTTATTTTTGTTAACTAATGACTAAACATTGATTATTTGACACTTCAGTTCAGGAATTTAGTACTAACAATAAAACTATTAAATGTCCATGGGTAACCAATGGTTTAAGTAATGCTTGTAAGAAAAAAAATACTTTATATAGACAGTTCATTCGATTAAGAACCAATGAATCTGAGCATCGATATAAAACATATAAAAACAAACTAACTAATATATTAGGAGCTAGTAAGAAATTATACTATACTCATCTATTATATAAAAACAAAAACAACACTAAAGGGATTTGGGGAGTCCTTAATACTATAATCAAAGGTAATACAAAACATAATTCATACCCAGAATATTTCATTGATAAGGACATCAATCATTATAATATGAATGAAATTGTGGAAAGCTTTAATAGCTTTTTGTAAATGTTGGACCAGACCTGGCAGCAAATATTCCTGAGTTTCGTAACAATGAAATGGAGTCTTTGATAGAAATGAATCCAAAAACAATGTTTTATATCTGGAGTAACTGAAGTGGAAATAATAGATGTGGTCAACAACTGTATAAATAAATCATCTACTGATTGCTTTGATATTGACATGGGACTGGTTAAACAAATTATACATGGAATCGTCAAACCGTTAACTTATATATGTAACCTATCTTTTCAAACAGGGCAATTTCCTAATAAAATGAAACTGGCAAAAATTATACCAATATTAAAAAATGGGAACAAACACCTTTTCACTAATTATAGACCGATCGCCTTGCTCCCTCAATTTTCAAAAATCCTCGAAAAAATTTTTTCACAGTAGATTAGAGAAATTTATAGATAAACATAATTTAATTGATGAAAGTCAATATGGTTTTAGGGCTGCAAGATCAACATCCATGGCCATAATCGAAGCAGTAGAAGAAATAACCAACAGTGTAGACAGAAAGGAACATGCAGCTGGAATTTTCATTGATTTAAAAAAAGCGTTTGACACTATTAATCATGAGATATTACTAAAAAAAATTATACAGATATGGTATCAGGGGCGTGGCTTTAAGTTGGATCCAAAGCTATTTAACAAGCAGAAAACAGTTTGTGAAAATGGGTATGTTTACTTCTGGGTACTTGGACATTGGCTGCGGGGTACCACAGGGATCAGTTTTGGGTCCAAAATTATTCAATTTATACATCAATGATATATTTAGTGTCTCCAAGTTATTGAAACTAGTTATATTTGCAGATGACACCAATGTTTTTACTCAAATGACAGTCATATTAATTTAGTGTCTACCATTAACATGGAATTAGCCAAACTAAAGACATGGATGGACTTTAACAAATTATCCATAAACTTAAACAAAACAAAGGTTATGTTTTTCAGTAAATACAAAAGCAACCTAGGCCCGGTTATACATATAGATGGGATGGCTTTAGATACCGTAACAGAGATTAAATTTTTAGGAGTTACTATTGACAACACATTAAGCTGGAAACAACATATAAAATACATACAAAGCAAAGTCTCCAAAAGCATCTCGATCATTAATAAATCAAAATTCTTCCTAAATCATAAAGCATTACATTTATTATATTGTTCACTAGTTTTGCCATATTTAACATACTGTGTAGAGGTTTGGGGCAATAACTACAAATGCTCAATTCATCCCCTGGTTGTACTTCAGAAACGCGCCATAAGAACAATTCATAAGGCAGGATATCTAGATCACACTCATACTTTATTTCTGCAGTCTAAAATAATCAAACTCACTGATCTAGTTGATTTTTATACAGCTCAACTTTTATTTAAAGCCAACATAATGGTTTTGCCTTCAAATATCCAGAAACACTTTACTCACAGAGAAGGGTGTTATAATCTAAGGGGGTGCGGGAACTTCAAAATACATGCTGTGAGAACCACAAGGAAAAGTTTGTGTGTGTCTGTGTGTGGAGTGAAACTTTGGAACAAATTGTGTGTCGAACTCAAGCAATGTCCAACTATCCATCTGTTCAAATCAGCATATAAAAAAATGGGATTTTCATCATACAGGAATGTGAGAATGGGGGTTTAAATTGTTATAATTCTAAACTATTTGAAAGGGAAAATTGATCTCATCAACCAAATCATATATTATATGTACTATTAGCATTATTACTATAACTATATATTATATGTGCTATTATTACTATACTGTCCTATACTGTTACTATACTCTTCTATTATAATTATTATTGTATAATACGGTCTAATAATAATAATAATATGATGTGTCTATATTAGGGCATTTATTGGGGTTATTAAGGTATTTTTTATTTTTATTTTTGATTGTCACTATTTTTGTATTATTATAGAAATTATTATTTTTGTTATGGGCGTCATTACATCAACATATCAATCCATCATCTATTGTTGGAAAAGAAATAAATGAATCCTGGTTGAAGCTTTGGTGCTGACGGTAGCCAGAGATTACAATTTGAGTATGTTCACAGAACTCACAGAACTCAAAGTACAGGGTAGGCAGAGGGGCTCTGCTGCTGGAGGAACCCTCTGGCAGAGGACCCCCACATACTGTCTCTTTTAATGCACAGATTAGGACACGTAACAAAGATCTGCAGCTCACAGGCTGCTCCCTTTAGAGGCCGATCCGTGGACGCAGAGACTCCCTTTATAAATAAAACACCAGCTAAATACAAGCTTGCTCCCATCAGCACCAATGATCAAATTTAACTCACGTATAACACTAGTGATCAGTAATAATTTATTAAATAGTAAATATACAATATTCTATAATCCTATTTAATTCATACAATATACATGATAATGAAAATTATAAACATGAAAATTATATGGATATGTGGTGATGATGTTATGACACCTAAATTCATATAAAATATTAAGGTAACAAGAATATAAACTTATTATACATATACTGTATAAATCAAGGGCATATTAACTTGAATATCACTGTTGCATAACTGCACCACTGACTAAGCTAAGCTATAGCAACCATAATTTAAGTTAATTCAATTACAATAATTAATAGGGGGTGGGAGTTTAAAAGTTTTAACTTCTTCCCACTCCTTTTCGAGCTGACTTTTTGTTATTTATTGTTTATTTGTTTTGTTTTTCTATTCAGTTGTATTGCTGTTATTCCTTGTTCTTGTCTGACATGGCTCGAAATAAAAGTATTCATTCATTCATTCATTCATTCATTCACACTTACCTTAAAACATCTTATCCATGGCAGGGGATTATTTAACACAGAAACTCTCTTTCCCCTTTTTTACAAATACTTTCTCTAGAGTAAACAAAATACTTAAAGGAGCAATAATATGTACAACTTGGTTCTCTGAGACGAATGCTGTTGTGATCTAGGGCTATAAAAATGATCAGAATTTAATTGAATATTTTGCTTTATGAAGGGCAAAAAAATTAACCTTGCCTGCAAGCTGAATTCTCGCGGTATTTGTGAGTTCACAAACACTCGAGAATACATCTTGTACCGCTCCCGCTTACACTTTTCGAGTCGAACCACTGGGTGTGCGAGCCAATCACGCGCCAGTCTGGGGGTTTAGGGCGGGATATCCGGGTTTGACGAAAGCAAAACAAACATGGCTACGCAGGAGGACGGACGCGTAGCTGAGGCTATCAAGTCAGTTTTAGCAGAATCTCCAATTTCTTTTTTGAAAGATGAACAGCGAGAGGCGCTTTGTGCATTTCTGGACGGTAAAGATGTTTGTGCATTTTTACCTACGTAAGTCAAACCTTGGTAGGCGGGCACACAGCGTCACTTCGCCCAATCAGCTTCAAGTATTCTGCTGCTTATCCCTCCTTTCCCCGAAAGGATTCTCCGTGAGAAATCCCAGATTGATATCGCGGAGAACGCGTTAGAGTTCTACACAATCATCAATCTGGCTCTTGCCAGGTTACAAAAAAATGCTTCCTGCCTGTAAATCCCTATGCTACCACTAGAGGGATGGGTTGTGAGTGTATTTTTTTGTTTTATATTTTAATTAAAAAAGTTACATGCCGCAAACACAGCCATGCGATTGAACGAAACAGTAAGAAACACTTGAAAGATGCACATGAACGTCAGAATAACAACTCTAGAACAACTAGCTAGCAATATCATAAGCTAAAATGTATGTTTCTTATTCATTGCACTATAGCTCTACCTCCAGCACTTTGACATGAGAATTTTAAAAGACCGCAAACATGTCTACAGACCTGTGAAGCCCAACATCATCTTCAAATAAAAAGCTTTTGAAAGGAAACAGCAGCAGTGGGTTTTCTTTCATCTTGTTTTCTCTTACGAGCATTAGCGGCCCTCAGAATGTGCTCCTTCAGGGGTCTATTTTGGCTAAACTACACATCTTTATAATGAAATCATTCAGAGGTCTTAATGGCAGGCGGGCGGGGCAGCCTCAGGGGCGGTGTATGTACCTCTTTAGTGATGTATCCGTCTTTGTTGATATCGTACAGGTTGAAGGCCCAGTTGAGCTTCTCCTGCACAGTTCCCCTCAGAAGAATAGAGAGGCCCATGACGAAATCCTGAACGGAAATAAAATCATGAATGTTTCAGCAGTAACCGTTAGTGCACACTTTCCATACATCACCAGTGCCTAGTGACGCCAGGAATCACTTACTGCCGTGATTAAACCTCACACATCATAAATCCACATCTCTCATTATTCAGATGATTAGGAGACTCAATCTTTGCGGCCCCCGGGGAGTCTCTGTACTTTCAAATGGCATTCACTTCACAGTAACAACAAGAGCTCTGGTTTAGAGTAATGACGGCTTTTGCTGTCCTAATAAGCAAATATTCTCCTTATAAATATGCATCAAATGTTGGTTTATTTGGGCTCTGCTTGCAGTGGAATTAAAATGATTGGGGTTACGGATTACATAAGACAGTGGCATCGCGGCGCTGCAGGGTGGAGAGGGTACATGTGAAAGTGTTTGATGTGTCATTCCGGATTTAAGCCTACGATGAGAATGCAGGGTAATTTAGGCCCCCAAATACTGAATATATTGTCTAAATTGAAATACTAATGAATATACACAACCCTTTGGTATTCAACATCCACATCATCAAACTACAGAAGCTACCACAAAGAAACTAATGTAGATGCATCCGCTCACTGGGTTGAAAAGTAATGTGAGGAATATTTCATTTTGTGGTTGATCAAATGGCTGAAACTGGTAGTTTGTTACTTTGATTTTTACTGAGGCACTGGATTTTCAAAAACTGAAACGTGAAATAGGCTCAAGGGATGCACCGATGCCAGGTTTTTATCAGTCTGCAAAGATTAGTAGCACCAACTTAATACATGAGATATGCCAGTATATACTGTAAACACTTTTGGTCTGTTTGTTGATGGCTCCTGCTCCAGACCTTGTGGTTTCTTAAGGCTCAAAGATGGTCTACCAGTCTGGTGCTAGAATACTACTGTAGCCACAGCTGCCCTGGGGTGGACGGAAGCAAGGCTATAATCTACAGCATGAATTATGTCTCATATTGTCAGGTTCAGAATGTATATCTGTATATCTAGTCCTCAGTGTGCACAAGTACAGACATAAAACAACATTAAAAGTACAGAAAAAAACAAACAAATAAAACAGTAAAACAATTGTCACTGTGAAAACGATCGGCTAAGACAGTATCAATACAAAGTGCAAGAACATTAAAGTGCTCTGTTCAAACAGATAACAGCTTGTGGGAAGAAGCTGTTAGCATGTCGAGATGTCCTGCATCTCAAAACGATATCTTCTGCCAGAAGGAAGAAGCTGGAACAAGGCTTTTCCAGGGTGGCCAGAAGAGCTGTTGATATTTCTAAGAGCTCGGTTTAAAAGTCTGGATTTATAAAGAACCTCCAGAACAGGAAGCTCACAGCCCACGGTCCTCTTTGCAGAGCGGAGCACCTTGTTTAAAGCTCTCTTAACCAGAAAAGACAATCTATTTTTCAAGAGCATCCGGGCCAAGTGGGAACACAGGTTACAATTTGAAAATAATAAATGTACATATCCATCCATAAAAACAGTCAGTGATCCTATCCAGCAGAAACAGATGTTACACTCTGTTAATGTCTACAACAAAGATTTAGATTCAGTTTAAAAACAATTAAACACTGAAGTCATCATTCCTCAAAATTCTCTTTAAGACCCAAATGAGACCAGCTACTTCCATCTATGCAGTCATGACTGAAATCCTCAGAATATACTGTATTCTAAATGTGGCTCACCTCAAAGCTCACAGATCCGTTGTGGTCTGTGTCGAAGGCGTTGAAGAGGAAGTGTGCATATGTTGAAGCATCTATGATAGAATGAACAGCAGGGGTTAGCCACAGCATCGCGCACACACACAAACACACAAAAGAGCTCTCTGAATGTTGTTTTACAAGTTCAATACAGAGAGAAAAAAGTCTTGTTTCATGTAAATGTGGATGACTGAAAGCTACGAGTTCTACTATAGTTTCTTAGACCGCTGAAAAGTCTTTGTGTGTAGATATCAAAGGCCGAGTGCGTTCTTGGGTCTGCTCATTTCTATCAGTGAAACGCGGTGAAGCAGCGACTATGTGAAGGAGAAAGTAGAAGGTGTGAGGAGACAATTATCCAACAGCATGTCATAGCATTTACATTTGCATTTGACAGCTCAGATGAAACTAGCATTAGCATATTCTCTTTTGGTTTGGATACAAAGTGAGATTTGTCCATATGAGCTGGATGAAGAAGGATGGAAGAGAGAAAGTGTTCAAAAGTTATCATAATGCTGAAATTTAGAGATTTGGGGTTTTTACAAGCTGTGAGCCAATAATCAACATTGTAACAAATAAAGGCTTTATATATTGTACTTGCGTGTCATATATTAGTTAGTAAGTTGAATTACAGACATAGTAGGGCTGGGCGATAAGCCAAAAAATATATATATCAGATTTTTTCACACCAAATCCGATATTCGATTTTAATTGATTATTTTTTTCAATTTAAAAACACGGACACGGACACGATAGCCCGCTTTGGAGTAACAAGCCTGAGCGCTGAGAAATGAATGAATGAGAATGAAAGAATGAAAAGTGTGGCGTACGAGCAGATCGACCGGAGCCCGGCAGGATACAAGTGTGTGTGTGTTCTGGCGATTCAATAAAGATTCTTGAACATCTGAAGTGTTATTGCCAGAAGGCCAGAAGAGAGAATGTTGGCATTAGGGAGTTTTCAAAATGACTGCTCAACACCCATGGTTAGCGTGTTAGCGCTGTTGCTCCGCGCTGGAGAAAAATAATCAATTGCCATTAAAAATAAATCCCACTGAACGTCAAATTCTTACTCTCTTACTTAATAATTAAAATTGATTTATTGCCCAGCCCTAAGACATAGATTGATTTTTAAATGTTTGTTCTAATTTCTAGAGTTCCAACTGTATATTGTAGAGAGTTGTAATTGATTATCAGGAGCATCATGGCCAAGTTCCGATTTTAAAATATTAAAACACACATTCATAATAAAAGTTAGTAATCTTATGGTAAAGTGATGAAAGAATACTATAAAAAATGTATGTAAACTTCCAATTAAAAGGTATACATTGTTAAAACATTTATAAATGTAGCATTAATTTGGAAGTTACTTAAACCTCAATTTATAGACTTAAACCTCACAATACACAATACAACTTTCATTCTGTGATTAAAGATGCACCACATTATGTCCATTGTTTAATTCAGAGTATTAGTCGTGTGTGAGGTTTTGGAAAGGTGATCCCGAGGAGTAAGACATGGGGAAGGCTGCTTTTCAGATTCATGCTGCGAAATCTGGAACAGTCTTCCGTGAAGATTTGAGACAGGCTCCTCTCTGACAATGTTTAAAACCCAGGGTTAAAGACAGTTCTGTTTAAAGCTGTGCATACAACTGAGGGGATTTATATTTCTATCTTTTCTTTTTAATGTTCTGTATAATTTATGAGTTTAATGCTTTCTTGTTTTGTTCAGGCACTTGAATTTGCCTTGTGTATTAATTGTGCTATATAAATAAACATTGCTTGCCTTGCCTCTGTTAAACTCAAGCATTAAACATATTATGGACATTTATCAAATTTATGGACATTCGTCTCATGCCCTTATGGACCGATGGCTCGTGTGTTATTTAATCTTTGGCAATTCTTGAGTTGTTGATTCTGTTTTTCTTTTTGGGCGATTTCAACTGTTTTGTAAAGTCTCCGAGAAACGACTGTTTTGTTTTAGGGCGATACAAAAATACATTGAATTGAACTGAAATAATGTGTATGTGTAGTCCCGATGTTCTTATGGCAAAATGTGCGTTTAAAAGTCTTTTATAAAATGTTTTGTGAGCCAGAGCTTCTCACTCTGCCTCTCCTGTGTTTCAGGGATCATGCACGTGTCCCTGGCTGTGGCTCTGGAAGGTGCGTGGAGTCCCTCTCTGCAGAAGAGGAAGGTGTGGGCGGTGCTGAGCCAGAGCGCAGAGAGCCTTCCAGAGCTCTCCACAAAGGTAAGTCCATATGCACTGAACCAGGCCATGGAATGTTTAATTGTATAAGCACAGTTTCATACACATGATAGAAAACAATCACACAGTTATTAAAAATCATAAATAATCACAGTAAACATTAAAACGAGTTGGAGATAAAAACCCTCCGTTGTGGCACAGATAAACTGTTTTCACAACTGGATTTAGCATTGCCCAGAGAAGAAGCCTTGTCTCACAATTTTCAGGAAGACTGTTAGATTATAGAAGTTGATGAATCTGAATAGCTGCGCTCCTCGATGTTTAGTCCTGACCTCTGCGGCATCAGTCAGAGTCCGGTCCCTGTGCTCCTCAAGTCCCAGCAGTCCGGTCGCCTGCTGCTCCTCAGAGTCCCAGCAGGAGTCTGGTCCTGTGCTCCTCAGAGTCCCAGCAGGAGTCGGTCCCTGTGCTCCTCAGAGTCCCAGCAGGAGTCCGGTCCTCCTGTGCTCCTCCGAGTCCCAGCAGGAGTCCGTAGTCCCTGGGCTCCCCGAGTCCCACAGGAGCCGGTCCCTGTGCTCCTCCGAGTCACCGCAGGAGCCGTCCCTGTGCTCCTCCGCGAGACCCAGCATGAGTCCGGTCCCTGTGGCTCCTCCGAGTCCAGCAGGAGTCCGGGTCCCTGTGCTCCTCCGAGTCCCAGCAGGAGTCCGGCTCCCCTGTGCTCCTCCGAGTCCCCAGCAGGAGTCCGGTTCCCTTGCTCCTCCGATTCCCACCAGGAGGTCCGGTCCCTAGTGCTCCCCCGAGTCCCCAATGCGAGTCCGGTCCCTGTGGCTTCCTCCGAGTCCCTGCAGGATCCGGTCCCTGTGCTCCCCGAGTCCCACAGGTGTCCGTCCCCTGTGCTCCTCCGAGTCCCAGCAGGAGTCCGGTCCCTGTCCTACTCCGAGTGCCCAGCAGGAGACCGGTCCCCTGTGCGCCTCGAGTCCCAGCAGGAGTTTCCGGTCCCTGTGCCCTCCGAACCCCGCCAGGAGTCCGGTCCCTGTGCTCCTCTGTCCTCCGATCCCAGCGAGTCTCCGGTCCCTGTGCTCCCTCGAGTCCCAGCAGGAGTCCGGTCCCCTGGTGCGCCTCCTCCGAGTCCCAGCAGGAGTCCGGTCGCCTGTGCTCCTCCGAGTCCCCAGCAGGAGTCCTTCCCGGTGCTCCCTACCGAGTCCCCCAGCAGGAGTCCGTCCCCTGTGCTCCCTCCGGTCCACGCAGGAGTCCGGGTTCCCTGTGCTCCTCCGAGTTCCGCAGCAGGGAGTCCGGCTCCTGGTGCTCCTCCGAGGTCCCCAGAAGGAGTCCGGTCCCTGTGCTCCCTCCGAGTCCCAGCAGGAGGTCCGGTCCCTGTTGCCTCCTCCGAGTCCCAGCAGGAGTCCCCGGTCCCTGTGCTCCTCCGGAGTCCCAGCAGGAGTCCGGTCCCCTGTGCTCTCCGAGTCCCCAGCAGGAGTCCGGCTCCCTGTGCTCCTTCCGAGTCCCAGCAGGGGAGTCCGGTCAGCCTGGTGCTCCTCCGAGTCCCAGCAAGGAGTCCGTCCCTGTGCTCCTCCGAGTCCCAGCAGGAGTCCCGGATCCCTGTGCTCCCCCGAGCCCCAGCTGGAGTCCGGTGCCCCTGTGCTCCTCCGAGGTCCCCAGCAGGAGTCCCGGGTCCCTGTGCTCCTCGCGAGTCCCAGCAGGAGTCCCGGTCCTGTGCTCCTTCCCGAGTCCCAGCGGAGTCCGGTCCCTGTGTATCCCTCCGAGTCCCAGCAGAGTCCGGACCCTGTGCCCTCCGAGTCCCCAGCAGGAGTCCGGATCCCTGTGCGCCTCCGATCCCAGCCAGGAGTCCGGTCCCTGTTCTCCCTCCGAGTCCCCAGCAGGAGTCCGGATCCCTGTTGCTCCCCGAGTCCCAGCAGGAGTCCCGGACCTGTGCGCCCTCCGAGTCCCACAGGAGTCCCGGTCCCTGTGCTCCTCCGAGTCCCAGCAAGTCCGTCCCCCTGTGCTCCTCCGAGTCCCGAGCAGGAGTCCGGGTCCCTGTGTCCTTTTCTCCGAGTCCCAGCAGGAGTCCGGTCCCCTGTGCTCCTGCCGAGTCCCAGCAGAGTCCTTCCCCCCTGTGCTCCTCCTAGTCCCCACAGGATCCGGGTCCCTGTGCCCTCGATATCGAGATAGGTTTTCCCAGCAGGAGTCCCGGTCCCTGTGCGCCTCCGAGTCCCAGCAGAGGCTCCGTCCTGTGCTCTCCGAGCTCCCAACAGAGTCGGTCCCTGTGCTCCTCCGAGGCCCAGCAGGAGTCCGGTCCCTGTGCTCCTACCGATCCCAGCAGGATCCGGTCCCTGTGCTCCTCCGAGGTCCCTGCAGGAGTCCGGGGTCCCCTGTGCGCCTCATCCCAGCAGGAGTCTGGATCCCTGTGCTCCTCCGAGTCCCAGCATAGTCCGGATCCCTGTGCTCCTCCGATCCGCAGCAGGAGTCCGGTCCCTGTGCCTGCCTCCGAGTCCCAGCTGGAGTCCCGGTCCCTGTGCTGCCTTCTCCGAGTCCCAGCAGGAGTCCGGTCCCTGTGTCCGCCCGATCCCAGCAGGAGTCCGGGTCCCTGTGCTCCTCAGTCCAGCAGGAGTCCGGTCCCTGTGCTCCTCCGAGTCCCAGCAGGAGTCCGGGTCCCTGTGCTCCTCCGAGTCCCAAGCAGGAGGTCCCCGGTCCCTTGCTCATTCCGAGTCCGCAGTACAGAGTCCGGTCCATGTCCCTCCGAGTCCCAGCAGGAGTCCGGTCCATGTGCTCCTCCGAGTCCCGAGCAGGAGTCCGCTCCTGTGCGCCTCATAAGAGAGGAGAGAGACATGATAACGTGGACTAATGTGATGGTACTTCCTGGTTCTAGTCAGACTCAAAGCTACTAATCCATCTCAGT